GCAATTGCAATTAGAGTGCAAAGAAGTGTAGACACTGTGGTTAGGTGTTGTCAGGCATGGCTTCGAGAAGGCCGTACGCAAAGAGCAAGGGGCACTGGACGCCGCCGTAGAACAACAGACCGTGAAGATCGCCGCCTAAGATTATTGGCCTTAAGGGACCGTTCCTCCACTACCAGGTCCATTACAAATGAATGGTTTGCAGAACACGGAAGACCTATTGATATGCGAAGTGTTTACCGACGAATGGGAAGTTTTGGCTTGTTTTCATACCGGCCACACTGGGTCCTCCCTTTAACTCGAGAACACCGACGTAATCGCTTTGAGTGGTGCAGACAACGGTCACTCTGGGATCAGGAATGGAACAGTATTGTCTTTAGTGACGAGTCTCGATTTTGTTTAGGCATGCACGATGGTCGTGCCAGGGTTAGAAGGCGACGTGGTGAAAGGAGGAATCCACAGTATTTTGTTGAAAGACATGTTCATCACACTGATGGAGTTATGGTTTGGGGTGCTATGCTATGCTTATGGTTCCAGGTCACCTTTAATCTTCTTCAGAGGTAACATGAACGCGCAGCGTTATATCCACGAAGTTCTAGAACCCCATCTTTTACCCTATCTTGACACCCTGGCAGATCCAACTTTCCAACAAGATAATGCCTGACCACATGTTGTAAGAGTCACAATAGATTTCTTTTAACATAATGATGTCACATTGTTACCATGGCCACCCAGATCTCCCGACTTATCCCCAATTGAGCACTTGTGGGATAAGATGGGTAGGAGATTGCTCAATTTGCAACGTCCTCCTCAGACTCTTGAAGCACTTCGAGAGGAGTTGGTGGTTGCCTGGAATGAGATACCACAGGAGAACATTGACCACCTGATCAGAAGCATGCCTAGGCACGTTGGAGAATGCGTAGCACATCAGGGTGCATCCACACATTATTAAAGGTCAAATGGCTTTAAAGCAGTGCAATCATTTTGAAATTTTTATCATTTACTTATTATGCTTCATTAAGTACTTATACAAAATTTTATTAAAATAAAACCATTTAAACTGGGTGTTCGGATTTATATGTCACTTAGTATACATTCTGTAAAGTAACTATCTTCATTATTGCTCATTACCGGAGGAGCTTATTTTGCACAAAATAAGCAAAAACTACATGATCAGCTTTATACCTTATTTGGGGTGACTTTGATCAGAAAATAAATTCCAATGCAGAAATACATATAATTGTGTTAGTTGGCGAACAATGTGATTGATACCTGGTCAGTTTCGTCAAATGGTTGGGAAATTATTGTGGATTTTATCTTATGGGGTCAGATTGATCACTGGGGGTGAGTTTGATCACCTAGATTATCACCATCAAATATGTAAGGCACCAAACAACAAAATATTTTGAGAACACATTAAAGTAAAGAGCGATAGATTGTTATTTTGATAAATTACATAGGGGTATTCAATCATTTTGAAGATAAAAATTTGGTGGTCAATGCCACCCCAGAGGAGTAATCAAGCTCACCTCAATATGGTGATCAATATGACCCCACGTTACTTAGCTAAAATTTTAGAAGAAACCTGGCAACAATATAAGGTTCACATTAAGGTTAAAGTTTTGCAAGGTACCCATGAACATGGTTGTGTAACAAAACTATGTTGTTCTTTAAATCGTACGGAAGTAGAAGACAAATTATTACAGGTACAAAATCTATCGACAAAACCCTTACCCCTTTTTAATGGTCAATTTAAGCACGAACACATCAGTAATTTCACAACAAACCATACACAATCACTCTGCTTATTGCTACTGAACAACGGGTTGGTGTCACCGCGTTCGAGCAGTTGACATCCAACGCGTGAAATTCATAAATTCCTAGACTGAAAATAGTTATCAAACTCACCCCGTGAGATCAACGTCACCCCATTTCACGGTACTGAGGAACTCTACTATTTTCGAAGCTCCTAAATTTGCACTTGTATGGTAGATAGGGACACCTCAATGTAGCATACAATAAGAAAACTATTTGGAAGTTTCTTGATCTATGATCAACTATTATTACATTTCTTACCTTTTCAATGTTGAACATGTTGAACTGGAACTCATGCTCCTCTTGCTATATGGTTCCTGTACACGACTTATTGACTGTTTAGTCTTCATTTCAGGATATATAACATATAAAGAATAATAAAATAATTCTATCGCAGATTATTTACTCAAAGCCCTCAAATCTAAGAAACTACCCTTGCTGCATACTCAAAAATCACATTTTAAAAACAACAACGCTCAACCGCTAACCCACAAACCACAAACACAAAACACCTGTGACCAGTGTTGCCACGTGGAGTCGACGATATTTCGGTAGAATTGTTTGGAATTTTTTCGGTAGTTTGAATACCGAAGAGTAAATGAAGGCATTCACTTAAAACAAATTTATTTAACTCAAACTATACTCTAAAAGAGAAGACAAAACAAAAATAAACAGTTTATATCTCACTTTAGCTAACTAAAAATAAAATATTCTTAATAATAAACAGAAAAGGTGTATAAAAAAAATGTGTAAGCTATATTGGATAATAATTCTTCCGATTCATTTTTATCAGTCATATTATATAGCAGGAATGGCAAATTATGCTCGGCCAAAAATGCGCTCAAACGAATTTCTCCTGGAAATAATAAAATAATCTATAATAATCTCAAATCTTCTCAAATAGTTTGTTTAATTTTACCTTCTTTAATATCATTTTCTAATTTCTTTGATGTACCTGCAACTGCAAGTGACAACAGTTTTGGCTGTTTTGTTATGGTTTGCACTTTTTTATGAAATTGCCCATTTGCGTGTTTTATAAGTGCATCTCTTCCACTTTTGATATTAATATCTTTATCACAGACCATGCATTTCGCATAATCGCGCCCTTTATTGCTTTTTTAAGTCAGCCTTGGAAATCTGGCAATTCTTTCCAGTCTTCCTTATAATGTTGGGCACACGCATGCGAAAAAAAAAAAGAACTGCATAACAGGCAATACTTATACTTTTTTTATATATCGATGCAGCCGCGCATGCAGAAGCCTAAATGCCGGAACACCGCGGCTGCTATGATGATCCCAAAGAAATTTTGTTAATACGATTTTTGAACTGCCTAAGGTTAGTAGAACTGGGAAAAGCTTCCTCTTATAGATTGTTCCACAATCTCGACACCCTCGGGACAAAGGAGCGGTCGTATCGGCCAGTTCTGGATGTACGAAGTTCGACACGGTTAGGATGGGACGCCAAAGTCAGGCGGGTCTGTCTGACAGGCACATCGCGCGGCGGCATCATAAGAGAGAGCTCTGAGGAGCAAAGCCTGTTGGTGTAGCGGTAGAAAAGGGCTAGATCGCCGACGGCCCGCCGGTGCGAAAGAGTCCCGAGACTGTCTGTTAGAGAAGAGTCATCGATCAGACGGACAGCCCTCTTCTGGTCAACATCGGGCATAAATAATGTAGTCGGGGTAGCACCTCAAATGTGTGAGCAATACTCGAGGCTAGGCCTTATCTGGGCCTTGTATAGAGTAAGAAGGTCATGCGGAGAAAGGTACTTTTTAGCCCTAAACAAATAGCCTAGTTTTTTCCCAGCAGCTGCAGCTATTGACGAGATGTGTTCGTGCCAAATCAGGTCCTCGGTGATCTGGACTCCGACTAGCCGGAATGAATGGCTCTTTGACAGAACTCGGCCATCCATCGAAACCGGATGAGCGCTAGGACGCTTTTTGTTCGTCAAAGTACAGTACTGTGATTTGGAAGCATTGAACTGTACAAGATTGTTGCGTCCCCAAGCAGTGATAGCCTCCAGGTCTCTTGTCAGAGAGGAAGTCGTCGATAGTCTTCTTTTTTCCAGCTCAGAGGCAGAGATCGACCGAATTCGGAATTACTAAGTACACGAAGTCATACAAATCGTACAATACAGGCATAGACTTGCTACGAGCCGCTAGGCCTAGGCGATGCAGCCAAATCATCGAGTATCTTCGGTGATTCCCAGATGCGGAGAATCAACGTATGTGGCACACCAATGTCAGGCAAAGAGAATAAAAATATTTCTGGTCTATTACGAATAATAATAGTACTTTTGTCATTCTTTTTAACGCTATGCATCAGAAATATTTCTCTTATTTAGGGAACAAAAATTATTCATTTGAAAAAAAGTCCACTTTCCGGTAGATTTTGCTTTAAAATCGGTTGTTTGGTGGACTAGGACCAAAATCGGTAGACTTGGTAACACTGTCTGTGTCATAAGTTACACTGGACTCAGTCACTTGTGTTGTGTCTTTTGCCATCTATTGGTGAAAAACATAAGTATCTATTTTTTATACAGATTTCAACATTCACTCTCAAATTACAGATGCCTGCAACTCAACAACGCTGGCAGCATCTACTGGAGAAAAACCGATAGTATATCTTTTGGCTAGATTTCTCTCTTTGATTCCTTTTAGCTAAATAAAAATATTTAGATGGCATCAGATGGTAACTTAAGATTGTCTTATCTCGATACGAAACGAGTCGGAGGAGATAATCCAGTCGGCAAAGACTTGAGTATTTTAAAAATCAATTTATCTGTCACACCCAAAATTAAGGGAATCTTTCGCGCAATTAAGAATTCTAAAAGGTTATAATTTTTTTAAAACATGGTTCCGTTACAGTAATCATTAATGTTTGAAGCCGCGTTATAAGTTCTTGTAATTTCCTACTATATGTACAATCGAGAAGGCATTGAAATGTCTGCATTCAAAAGTGTATTTAGGAGTGCAATTCCGAAATCATCCCGAATCTTTGTCCCATTTGTACAGATTTTTCACTTCTTGTGATTTTTTAATAATCACCTAGGTCTAGGGATTTGAGAATGGATAATGAAAAAACTATTTACTAAATGCGTGAGAATTAGATTGACTTTAATAGTTTAAGCGTAATCTATACACCGCACCCATAAAAATATGTATAATAAATAATAAAATAATAAAGGTTTCCGTTTTGAACTGTTCTTAAAACTGTGAAACGTCAAAATCTATCACGGACTGGAACGTTGAAAATGGAGATTTTTCAACTTTTTCGTTTGCCCGTTGGTCCGCAGTTAATCAATTTTTGAAAGATATTCAAAACTCGGACCTCGATAAGAGGTAGGGTTATGGGGTAAAGTTGTGCATTTAGGTAACTATGAAAGTGGCACTTAGAAAGTTTTGTAATTCGGATTATTTTCAGAATGTCAGAATTAAAAAGAATTTTCCCGAAATCGTATTTTCTCCTGACTCTTTTTGAAATGGGATTTCATCAATTCTGACAGAGATAATAATAATAATAGTAATAAAGCATATATTGCCCAACAGTATACACCATTTACAGAGCAATGGGTAATAAATTCAATTAATATACTAAATTTACCTAAAACTAACTTTAGCGAAACTACAAATTGGCACGACACTGGGTTCTTATTTCTGAAAAACTGCAACACCACTGAGCAACACAAATTAAAAGTTAGGCGAAATGGGTGGGTACATTTAAGGATCATAAAATTCAGAAAAATACATGTGTACATATAAAAACAGTAAAGTCATCATTTACAAAAGCATCGCAGAACACTAAAATGGTACGTACTCCTGATATCCAAATATTGCCAGAATATATAACTTAAAATTTATAAATATTCTTCCCGTAGCGATGTGTCACTGATGACACCACCACAGACCAGTTGGAATCTGTTACCGATTGCACAGTCGGCAGTGGCCTCCACGACGACGCAGCATCGCTCCGTGCACGCATTGCCAAGATATTTATGAGCACATTATACATCGGACTTTTATCATTTAATTTTCCAGTTGTTACAGGGATCAGAAACTTCTGAGTGATAAAAACGTCTGACTAATACTACATTTACAACCTCCTACCCCTTTCAACCCTCAACCGATCGACGCGAAGTGATCTCCAACATTCTAGATATCGCTTTGTGGTTTTCTCGCAGTGGTAATTGAACTATATATAACTCGGCGGCCGGGAGATGGGGCAGAGAGTACGGATTACGGTGGAGTAGCAGAGCGAGAAGTATAGTGCAGTCAATGGTGACATAAGAATTAGTCAGACATAAATAGTGGGGCATATAAATGTTTCATCGTCGTTACAATAACATAAATGAATATCATCATTCTTTTTTTGCTGCTGCTAGTTTACCGCACGTTAGCTTTGTTATTTTAAATGTAGTTATTTCTGAAAGCAATTGTCCCAGCTTCCTGGATACCATATATTTACCGTGTGGTATTCTAATAAATGCTACAACTTATCAGTATTTTTTACGACGTTTTTTTCCTTTTTGTAGTTCATCGAATATCCGCATGATTTTTTATTCCGTGATCATCACATGTCGATTTACAATCAAATGTCTCATTACAGCATTCCTAAATATCACAACTCGACGCATTGTCAAATATGAAATAGTTCTCCAGTTAAGCTGACTAGGGATAAGGGGTAGGAAGACAGCGTTAACTGCGTTATCACTTTATTTGCTAACATAGAGGCCTCCTTGCCGATTTACAACTTGTAGCGAACAATTCGGGAAATAAAAATATCGTTGATAAATAAAAAAGTTCGTACGTCTGTAGTGCTGAGCGAATAGATACGTGCTCCTTCTGTCGAAGCTCATGCCCATCTTCCCGCTCATCTCATCAAATGCCATCTTCAAGAGATTTTTTTAATTTGCTGTCCGCGTAATATCCTCATTCTTTCCTAAAGCAATAACGTCAAGCAGTGTTTACAAACATGTAACAGGGCAGTACTTGAAAATATGAATAGCGAGTATTTTTCTTCAATTTCTTACTGACCTTTTCGCTGCTATTTTGCCGTACATTAGCTTTGTTATTTCAAACGTAGTTATTCCTTAAAATGAAAATCCCAACTTTCAGGAAATCCTGTATGAGTATATTCTTATGAATGAGATCATTATCGGTATTTTATATGATATTTTTTCATAGTTCATCGAATGATATCTGCATGATTTTTTATTACATGATCATCAAATGTCGATTTACAATCAAATGTCACATTACAGCATTCATAGTTATCATAATTCGACATATTGAAATTGGTACGATCCAGAGATTTTTTCAATTTGCCCCCAGAAGCGATAAGCTCAGGCTGTTTCCCAAAAGTGCGGTTGTCTAAGTATTCCTTTCTTGCAAATGTAGTAGTAAAATCAGGATGTGTCCGCAAAATGTGATCGACTAATGATAGTGTAGTTGTAAATGACGCATCACACTTTGTACACTTGAGCTTAGCTCCAGTATGTTTCATCATATGGCTAACTAAATGCCTCTTGTATATAGTTTTATATTCACAATGGGTACATCTATGTATCTTACTAGATACAGAAGTAGTAAACTCAGGATGTTTCCGCAAAATGTGATGATCTAATGATTGTATGATTGTAAATGACTTATCACATTTTGTACACTTGTGCTTAGCTCCAGTATGTTTCATCATATGGCTAACTAAATACTTCTTATATGTAGTTTTATATTCACAATGTGTACATTTATGTATCTTACGAGATACAGAAGTAGTAAATTCAGGATGTTTCCGCAAAATGTGTTCGTCTAATGATAGTGTAGTTGTAAATGACGCATTACACTTTGTACACTTGAGCTTAGCTCCAGTATGTTTCATCATATGGCTAACTAAATGCCTCTTATATATAGTTTTATATTCACAATGGGTACATCTATGTATCTTACGAGATACAGAAGTAGTAAATTCAGGATGTTTCCGCAAAATGTGATCGTCTAATGCTAGTGTAGTTGTAAATGACGCATTACACTTTGTACACTTGAGCTTAGCTCCAGTATGTTTCATCATATGGCTAACTAAATACCCCTTATTTGTAGTTTTATATTCACAATGTGTACATTTATGTAATTTACGAGATACAGAAGTAGTAAATTCAGGATGTTTCCGCAAAATGTGCTCGTCTAATGCTAGTGTAGTTGTAAATGACGCATTACACTTTGTACACTTGTGCTTAGCTCCAGTATGTTTCATCATATGGCTAACTAAATACCCCTTATATGTAGTTTTATATTCACAATGTGTACATTTATGTATCTTACGAGATACAGAAGTAGTAAATTCAGGATGTTTCCGCAAAATATGATGATCTAATGATTGTATGATTGTAAATGACTTATCACATTTTGTACACTTGAGCTTAGCTCCAGTATGTTTCATCATATGGCTAACTAAATACCCCTTATTTGTAGTTTTATATTCACAATGTGTACATTTATGTAATTTACGAGATACAGAAGTAGTAAATTCAGGATGTTTCCGCAAAATGTGCTCGTCTAATGCTAGTGTAGTTGTAAATGAGGCATTACACTTTGTACACTTGTGCTTAGCTCCAGTATGTTTCATCATATGGCTAACTAAATACCCCTTATATGTAGTTTTATATTCACAATGTGTACATTTATGTAATTTACGAGATACAGAAGTAGTAAACTCGGGATGTTTCCGCCAAATGTGATTGTCTAATGGTCGTATGGTTGTAAATGACGCATCACACTTTGTACACTTGAGCTTAGATCCAGTATGTTTCATCATATGGCTAACTAAATACTCCTTATATATAGTTTTATAGTCACAATGTGTACATTTATGTATCTTACGAGATACAGAAGTAGTAAATTCAGGATGTTTCCGCAAAATATGATGATCTAATGATTGTATGATTGTAAATGACTTATCACATTTTGTACACTTGAGCTTAGCTCCAGTATGTTTCATCATATGGCTAACTAAATACCCCTTATATGTAGTTTTATATTCACAATGTGTACATTTATGTAATTTACGAGATACAGAAGTAGTAAACTCGGGATGTTTCCGCCAAATGTGATTGTCTAATGGTCGTATGGTTGTAAATGACGCATCACACTTTGTACACTTGAGCTTAGATCCAGTATGTTTCATCATATGGCTAACTAAATACCCCTTATATGTAGTTTTATATTCACAATGTGTACATTTATGTAATTTACGAGATACAGAAGTAGTAAACTCGGGATGTTTCCGCCAAATGTGATTGTCTAATGGTCGTATGGTTGTAAATGACGCATCACACTTTGTACACTTGAGCTTAGATCCAGTATGTTTCATCATATGGCTAACTAAATACTCCTTATATATAGTTTTATATTCACAATGGGTACATTTATGTATCTTACGAGATACAGAAGCAGCAACATCAGGATGTTCCCGCAAAATGTGATCGTCTAATGATAGTGTGGCTGTAAATGACTTATCACACTTTGTACACTTGAGCTTAGCTCCGGTATGTTTCATCATATGGCTAACTAAATGCCCCTTATATATAGTTTTATATTCACAATGGGTACATTTATGTATCTTACGAGATACAGAAGTAGTCAACTCAGGATGTTTCCGCAAAATGTGATCGTCTAATGTTCGTATAGTTGTAAATGACTTATCACACTTTGTACACTTGAGCTTAGCACCAGTATGTTTCATCATATGGCTAACTAAATAATCCTTATATATAGTTTTATATTCACAATGGGTACATTTATGTATTTTACAAGACACGGATGACTCAAATTTAGGATGTTTCTGTATGACGTGGTTTTCTAAGCGTCGTTTAGTATTGAATGAAGCATCACAGTTATTACATTTGAAAGTCGTTTGAGTATCATGTCTTGCCAGGTGCCTTATAAAACTACTCCTAGCTATTTGTTTATGTGGACAATGCATACATTCATATATCTTACTAGAAACTGTCCCGCTAAAGTTGGGATGTCTCTTTGAAATATGGTCAAAAAGCGATCGTTCTGTTTTAAATGATGTATTACAATGTTTGCATATGCGTAGTTTAGTAGTATGCTTTAGCATATGGCTGTTTAAAGGCCTTTTATAAGCGGTTTTAAAATCACAGAATGTGCATTCATGTATTTTAGATGGAACTAACGCAATAGATCCTACATGCTTTTTAACCAAATGATTATCTAGTGATGTTTTGCTTTTGAACACCTTCCTACATTTGATACAACGATACAGATACTGTTTTCTGGATACAGATCGTGATTTTCCCAAATTAGATCGTAAATAGCAATTGTTCCTTTTGATATGACCGATCAAACCCTTTTTACAATGGCTCGTATAGTTACAAATATAGCAGCTGAACGACTGTTTTCCTTCTTCGATCGGTGGATTTCGTTGTTCCTTTTCCCGCTTTATCTTTATTTGGACGCTGAAAAAAAAAGTTTCATTATAATTCACGTTTTTTAATTGATAAAGAGAATCGATTCAGTTATAGCGAGACAGTGCCTGAAGTTTGCATTAAACGCTAATTCTATAAATAATATTAGTTTAAACAGGTTTCGAAGGATATACAGGGTGTTTTCAAAGTTGAGCTATTTATTTTAAGAGCTTGTAGAACTCGTCAAAAGAAGTTGATGTACCAAAAATCCCCTATATAAAAGTTGCGTAATAGAGTTATACTAAAATTCAGCCCAAGTGAGACCACAACATCGCAAACTCGAAGCGTGATCAGCGCGTGATCGATGTTCCCGCTGAGGGTCTCATTATAGTTCAGGCATTTTACGGTTTGAAGTTGTAGTTTGAAGCGCTCGCTTTTTCAACTAATAGTTTCATTTCGTAGCTTTTATTTTTCTTTTTTTAAACTTTCCGCTCCTCATATTGATGCTTTTGTTAAATACAATATCCTGAAGTGTCTCCAATATAAAACTCCATGAATTTGGAAAACAAGCAGCCTCGAACATTTTTTAAGACCTAGTTAGACCGTAGCAATACAAAACCCGCCGTTGCGCCGCGTTGATGTCTACAAAAACCAGAGTTGTAATCAGGCCGTGGCGTGGCGTCGAGTGCATCGCTGTTATAAGTTCTGTTATATCTGGTGTTTTTTGACCATGTCTTCTACCGACACAGCTGATGAAGGGAGAGCTACATTGAGTCCACCCAGGAAACGATCAAGACAAAACCATTTGAGCATCGAAGTGAAAGAAATTATTTTAAATGTTTACAAATATGAAACGGAGGAAAAACCTGAGCTCGGCGTCAACGATGTTGTGCAGAGGGTGGCGAATAAATTTGGAGTTTCTCGTGCATCGGTATTTAGAGTACTCAAAGAATATAAATTACGGAGTGCATTTGCTGAACCTAAAACGAATCAGAACCGTAAAAGCCAAATTAAAGAAATAGATGATGCTGACAGACATGCGATCAGAAGGAAGGTTCATGAATTCTTTTTCCAGAATGAAATTCCTACAATTGATAAGATTTTGAAAGTAGTGAATGAAAACTCAGATTTGGCAAATTTTAGTAAAACGACGTTCTACAGGCTATTAAAGGAACTCAACTTCAATTGGCAGAAGAGAGGCCGAAACAGTTCATTGATGGATAGAGATGAAATTATACTATGGAGGAGAGAGTATTTGACAAAAATAAAAGCATACAGGAGCCAAAACAGTAGAATTTACTTCCTGGACGAGACGTGGATAAATGCTGGCCATACAAAATCAAAAGTTTAGGTGGACCAAACAGTAACGTCAGCAAGAAGAGCGTTTTTAGATGGGCTTTCAACTGGGCTTAAAAACCCTACACGTAATGCACATTCCATTTTAGAAAATCCAACAATAGTTATTAGATAATTTTTCATAGCCAAAGTGATTTAAATGAGGCATTACACGTTATCAGATATCTAGAAAAAACGAGGGGATGTTCACTCGGGAAATCAATGTATTCTACGTTGGAATTCTACGTTGGAATTCTTATGGTATCGATGACAAGATTTTTTACAGCAATGCGAGCGTTGCAGAGACAACATACCTCGTCCGTCACGGAATGTAACACGTTAATTAACAACGTCAGACATTGCGGTGATTTGTAAATTTTTCGATAAGTTTGTCACACTTAATTTTTTAGTTTAATTGATGTTGCCTGTTTCTTTTGTTTTTAAGCTTTAACCAGATTCATCAACAGATTAAATGATGCATTGGTTGAAGTGTCCGATATATCTCACCGCATGCATCCCGCTATCATGAGAAACAATATAGCATCGTATATAAAATACAGAAATGTGTCCCTATCTCCGTGGCCTCAGTACTCTTGTGAAAGACATATAATGTACATCCGTATTTAACAAGTTTTATCTTTATAGGCAAAGGAAAAAGGCTCATTATTTGCCACATCGGGAGTGTAGATGGCTTCGTGAAGGAAGGACTATGGTGTTTTGAATCAAAAAAAATCACTGACTACCACGAAGAGATGAATGGTGAAGCATTCGAAAACTGGTTTTTAGGCATTTTACCACGTCTTAAAGACAATTCTGTGGTGGTCCTGGATAATGCTCCGTATCACTCTCGGAAATTAGAAAAAATTCCAAATTCATCTTTTAAGAAATCAGAGATACAGGACTGACTACGTGCAAAAAATATACCTTTTGATACGTTTATGTTGAAATTACAACTTCTAGATCTTGTGAAACAACACAGAGCAAAATATGATAAATATATAGTTTACGAGATGGCAAAAGCGCACAATAAAATGGTACTTCGTTTGCCTCCTTACCACTGTGAGCTCAACCATTCAAAAATAAAATCTTGGTGTCCACGAATTAAATCACAAGCATTTTCAAAGTGCACTGTTGAAGTTCTTCCAGAGTATTTACTGCTCCATCATGATACACCAACTCTTTCAAATAGCCCCACAGAAAAAAATTGCAAGGCGTTAAATCCGGGGAGTGAGCAGTCCGAGAAATGGGCCGATTGCGCCCTATCCATCTATTCGGAAACTCATTATTTAGATGTTCATGAGCATCTCGTCTAAAATGTCGTGAGGCGAAATCATGTAGGAACCACATAATATTCTCTCTCATATTTAAAAGAACACTTAAGAATTGTGGCAAATTGTGTGGAAGAAGATCTAAACAAATTTCTAAAAGCCACTGGCACTCTTCCAGGCTGATCTTCATGTTGTAACGCTTTTACCCGCTGATAGTGATAAGGATAACACTGTTCTTGTCCTAATGCCTTCCACACTTTGCTATGAGAAATTTCAACTTGAGCTGCTATGGCTCTAGGACTCATTGTTGGGTCGTCTTCGATAATTTCTAAAAGGTCTTTCTCAATTCGTAACATTTCAGGTTAAGCTGGTTTCCCAGCGTGACCTCCTCGTTTTTCTTTTAAATATCCTGTGTCACGAAGTCTAATAACTGAATTTACAAACATCCGTGGGGCGGGATGATTTCTTAAAGGATACCTTTCCGCATACGACCTGCATACTGCGGCTGCATTTTGTTGGTACTTATTTTTTCGAACAAAATAAGCAGACAAATGAAAGTATATGTACTATTAAAAGACTGATACAACAGATCGAACCAAAGACTCGTACTCGTACAGATAGTTTTCATGATTGTCGTTTTATATTCACATGGAATCAGGCAACCACAAAAAAGTTTTCAAGAGCAACTTGCCAGAGAGCTGCCCAAAAACTTGGATTTAAAACTTACAAGGTAGGGTTACATTATTTTTTTATTATTTGTTTTTAATACAGTATTTCTTGGCAAAAGAGAAGCCCTTATTGATAAAGATTCAGAAGAAAAACAGACTAGCGTGGGCCTAAGAATACAAATTATGGTCTCCAAACCGATGGAACTCCATTTTTTAGATGTAGTGACTAAGCCAGAAATTTGCATTTTGTGGAAGGTATTATGAATACTGAAAAGTGCATTAATGTGCTTCAAAATAAGTTAATACCTCAAATTGGACAAATGCGTTCAAACAATATTGAATGTATCATCAAACAAGATGGTACCGCTTATCATACGGCTAAAAAAGTAAAAGATTGGATGTTAGAAAAACAATATTATTAAATAGACGTCGAGTAGACCAGATCTATCGGCAATTGAAACCTTGTGGCATATCATGATGAAAAAGCTCTGATCCCGCAAAAACCGTTCTAGAATTGCGAACCCGTCTCCAACACATTTGGAACAGTTTTACCCCAGTTAACTGCCAAACATTAGTGGACACTGTCAAGACGTATCGAAGCAGTAATTAGTCCAAAAGGCGCTGTAACGCAAGTGGTGATTTGCCTCCTATTTGGTTTTGTTGATTTTTATTAATCGGCAGTATTTTTAATTTGTAAGATATTTTTCTTTGTTAAAAAATATAGTATTTTAGGCTAACATTAAATAAAAATATCGTATGTTATCAGAAATACATTTTAGTATTTAATACGTTTCCGCTAATATGACAAGTTTCATAAAAAACGTAGATTTGATCATCGGACCAACTTCACTGAGGGCTCGTAGTTACCAACATAGCAGCTAAACAACTTGTTTTCTTGTTCCTCCTGTGAATATCTTTGTTTCCATTTCCATTGTTTTTTATCCACATTAACGGAAAATTAATAGAACTACACTGAAACAAGAGTATTTTTTCAAATACAATACACTTAGTAATATTGCGTCTCCGGCGATCCAAATGAGCGAATTGTTTTGATATATATATATCACAAAGTATAGATAAATACTAAGTATCGTGCACAACAAACAAAGTAACTAAAAAAGTTTGCTTGTGCTTGGGTTTGTTAAAACTAAAAGTACAACAACTGACTGAACACTGTAAATATGGTATAATTTGGTGAATTGAATTATGGGGATTAACACCAATAAATTATACATATCATAAAAATACGTCTAACCTAAGCAGCTGCGACAGACAAAGTAAACAATCAAAAAATCTGAAAATTCATCATACTTCAGTAGCGTGTATACCTACATTAAAGAAGTTTTTGACAATCGGAGTCTCCAAATCTACGAAATTTTATTACACACCTCGTATATTACAAATTCATTCATCATTTTCGGACATCCCGTAGAGTTGGGGATTGAAGGAGACTCACCTATCGGACGCCGAATCATGCCTGTCATCTTGGTCACTCTCAGTTTTGATGTCAAATTCGTGATGTAGCCCTAACGCGTCCATATTTTCAAGATTTGTGCTCCTTAAATCTGGTTTTTCTTCCAGCTTTTCAGATTCTTGGAACTCCATTTTCATCTGGTTAACTGTATCTGCTGTCGAGTGAGCTTCAAGTCCAGACTCTAATTTCTCTTCAACTTTAATTCTAAAATGGTAATAAAAAGGACATTTTAATACAGGGCGGTCAATTTACAAGACGATTCAGAAAGGTTCCCATTCCCAGCTATTTTTTGAATAGGGTGACGAATTTCATGCATGAATAGTATATTATAGCTTTTTTTAAGCTATATTTATCCTGAGCATAGGTTAGCATTATTTGGAAAGGGCCTCTCAACAATTACAATCAATGACTTTTTCAAGACAGATTTGAATCATATGCTTCAGAGCAACATTTTCTCATTACTTTTGTTTGGTTGACGCTATTTGTATCACAAGTGGTTTCAGCAGTTGTATAGCATTGCTATTTGCAAATAAAGATTACGGTTATTGTTAATATTGTTGGGGTGGCTGTGGAACATTTCAAATGACGGTAGGGCCCCACCTTGGAGCATTCTTTCAGAGCATTAATGCCATGTCATGTTTTATGCCTCATTTTGTAGCTCCTTATGGTGGGAGCCTCGGTAGCTCGTTGGTTTATGTGTCGAGGTAGCAATCCGGCATGGGTATAACGCGTCTTGAAAAGTGACCATTATGTCGTTTCTTTGACATTACATACAGGGTGTCCCGCGAGGTAAAGGACAAAATTTTTCTGCGGGTTCCTCAGGTCAATTCGAGTAGAAAAAGTCGTATGAACATGGGTCTCCAAATGCTTCCTTATCGAGATATGATTTTTTATTTTTAGTGGGTGAAAATCACAATATTCTTGGAAAATTGCTTTTATTTAACAAAAAATTTAATACTGTTCATATGAAAACAACTGTTTACAGTAATTAAAGTCAACATTCACTATGTACTGCCCGATTAATAGATTAGTGTTTGTTTGTTTGTTGACGGAGTGGTTGTGTCAGTTTGATTGAACTTTGCAAAAAGTATTTAAATAACACTTTTCCTGGGCATTGGATCGGACGAGGGGGCGCAGTTTCTTGGTCACCCCGCTCGCCCGATTTAAATCCCTTGGATTATAACTTGTGGGGACATATGAAGTCTCTAGTGTATGCAGAGAAATCACATACCAGGCCTGAACTGCTCCATAAAATTACTGATGTCTCTGACGACATAAGTATTAATCGTCTTGTTATTGGGAAAGCCACCAGTTACATTACTAAACCAGCTAGACTATGTTTACAGTATGAGGTGGACACTTTGAACAACTATTGTGAATAGTTATTTTTATTGTACCTAGTAATTTTATCTTAAATAAAAGTAATTTTCCAACAATATTGTGGTTTTCCCACCATTAGCACCTTAAAAATAAAAAATCATTATCTCGATAAGGAAGTATTTTCGGACCCATGTTCATTAGATTTTTTCCACTCGAATTGACGTGAAGCACATGTAGAAAAATTTTGTCTCTTACCCCCTGTATATAGGTTTTTTGTGATATTATGTAGGTTTTTCTACAAGAAATCAACTTTGCACTAGCTGTTGAACACTTGTGTACGTGTTGCATCATGATGTTTCAGTTATTACTGTTTGGCTCTGATGTGATATAACATCTACTTTATTGGAGATTTAAGCTGAAAGTTGTATACTATAGCTAGACGGAAACGGCAGTCCATAGGTTCATAGTGAAGATTTTTGTGCTAATAATATATGTTAATGATAATTCCATTGGTTTCTTGTCTCAAATACACTTACTTGACATGTATGCAAAGCTAAAAAGTAGTTGCACATCCAGTTTTTCTTATTAAACACGGAAATTACATATGCAAATTATACGAAATTCAAAAATAGAGTCACAAGAAAAGAAAATATCTGGTTGGTGAAGTATATTAAAACAAACAAGTGAGAAAATATGGTACATACAGGAATATTTATGAAACGTAAAATAGTTCTTGCATTTTACGATATTTTTTATTTCCAGTCATTTACATTTTATAGAATTTTTTTTTGCAATGTCAAGTAGAAAATACAATTCGACACCTACATGTGAGGCAGTGAGAAAATGTTTTTTATGTGTTGCGTTATTCTTTATTTATCTGTGATGTGGCTAAAAGTGCAGTGCTAATTTCCCGTAATGCTTTTAAAAGTTGTTAAAAACGCAAAATCAAACGAGAAAATTGTGATGTATAACTTTTAGAAAGGACAACACAAATAACCCGACAATTTGTCGTTTTTTTTGATGTTCTATAGGTTTTTTGCATAATAGCTCTACGATTCCATAGCAAATTGAACTCAATTTTTGACATACCTCAGAAATGTGGTGGGACATGAAAAAAATTTGTAATGCATATGAAATTAAGCTCAGACTGCCTGAAGCTATATTCTATATACATGAAGTGCTCCTAATGAATCTTCAAAAAATATTTCAAGATGGCGCTAACAACCATATTGAAATTTATAATAAGCTAACATACCTATTCGAAAATTAAGTATGGGGAAACATGTTTAATGAATGCCCTGTATAAAGGTACTTATTGAATTGAATATATCCAAAACAAAATTAGGCCCACCTATTAGATACAGCATTTTCACATTCATTTTTGATATCAAACTCTTCATTTAGTGTCCAAATGTCCATATTTTCAAAGTTTGTGTTGTTCACAGTTGGTTCTGCTTCTGGTTTTTCGGATTTAACCCCAACTACTAACTGATTCTCCATTTTCACCTGGTTAACTCCATCCCAGTGTTCATCTTTGACACTAAAATAATATTACTATAACTGTCGAGCACCATCTCTAGGCGCCAGTGTTGCCACTTCTTGGACTGTTGTTGAAGGGATTTCCTTCTCTACCATTGAGAAGAGAATATAAAATATTAGGAATAATTATGAATGAGGTTGAGATGTGATCTTCCCTTGGGAGGCTAATGTTGCAATTAAGAATAGTCAATTTTCTGTAAAAGGAAAGTGGAATCTGTTTTTATTACTTCAAATGGAATAGTTACTTGGCAAAATGGCTGTGATGGTTAAAATTGTATGTGAATATCCAAATACAACATGAGACAGGGTATCTCCTTGGAGAACATAATAAACAATGGCATATTTATAAAAGAAGTACCGTGAAATGGGGTGAAATTGATCACTTACAATCGTTATATTGGAATGTCTTTTTCAAATCAGATACAATTAAATACATTCTGTAAAGTTGATGAAGAATAGCTGTGCCTGAAACTATCTTCATTATTGCTCATTACCGGAGGAGCTTATTTTGCACAAAAATAAGCAAAAACTACATGATCAGCTTTATACCTTATTTGGGGTGACTTTGATTTGCAAATAAATTCCAATGCAGAAATACATATAATTGTGTTAGTTGGCGAACAATGTGATTGATACCTGGTCAGTTTCGTCAAATGGTTGGGAAATTATTGTGGATTTTATCTTATTGGGTCAGATTGATCACCGGGGGTGAGTTTGATCACCTAGATTATCACCATCAAATATGTAAGGCACCAAACAACAAAATATTTTGAGAACACATTAAACTAAACAGCGATAGATCGTTATTTTGATAAACTACGTAGGGATATTCAATTATTTTGAAGATAAAAATTTGGTGGTCAATGCCACCCCAGAGGAGTAATCAAGCTCACCTCAATATGGTGATCAATATCACCCCACGTTACTTAGCTAAAATTTTAGAAGAAACCTGGCAACAATATAAGGTTCACATTAAGGTTAAAGTTTTGCAAGGTACCCATGAACATGGTTGTGTAACAAAACTATGTTGTTCTTTAAATCGTACGGAAGTAGAAGACAAATTATTACAGGTACAAAATCTATCGACAAAACCCTTACCCCTTTTTAATGGTCAATTTAAGCACGAACACATCAGTAATTTCACAACAAACCATACACGATCACTCTGCTTATTATTACTGAACAACGAGTTGGTGTCACCGCGTTCGAGCAGTTGACATCCAACGCGTGAAATTCATAAATTCCTAGACTGAAAATAGTTATCAAACTCACCCCGTGAGATCAACGTCACCCCATTTCACGGTACTGAGGAACTTTACTATTTTCGAAGCTCCTAAATTTGCACTTGTATGGTAGATAGGGACACCTCAATGTAGCATACAATAAGAAAACTATTTGGAAGTTTCTTGATCTATGATCAACTATTATTACATTTCTTACCTTTTCAATGTTGAACATGTTGAACTGGAACTCATGCTCCTCTTGCTATATGGTTCCTCTACAGGACTTATTGACTGTTTAGTCTTCATTTCAGGATATATAACATATAAAGAAAAATAAAATAATTCTATCGCAGATTATTTACTCAAAGCCCTCAAATCTAAGAAACTACCCTTGCTGCATACTCAAAAATCACATTTTAAAAACAACAACGCTCAACCGCTAACCCACAAACCACAAACACAACTAACACCTGTGACCAGTGTTGCCACGTGGAGTCGACGATATTTCGGTAGAATTGTTTGGAATTTTTTCGGTAGTTTGAATACCGAAGAGTAAATGAAGGCATTCACTTAAAACAAATTTATTTAACTCAAACTACACTCTAAAAGAGAAGACAAAACAAAAATAAACAGTTTATATCTCACTTTAGCTAACTAAAAATAAAATATTCTTAATAATAAACAGAAAAGGTGTATAAAAAAAATGTGTAAGCTATGGATAATAATTCTTCCGATTCATTTTTATCAGTCATATTATATAGCAGGAATGACAAATTATGCTCGGCCAAAAATGCGCTCAAACGAATTTCTCCTGGAAATAATAAAATAATCTATAATAATCTCAAATCTTCTCAAATAGTTTGTTTAATTTTACCTTCTTTAATATCATTTTCTAATTTCTTTGATGTACCTGCAACTGCAAGTGACAACAGTTTTGGCTGTTTTGTTATGGTTTGCACTTTTTTATGAAATTGCCCATTTGCGTGTTTTATAAGTGCATCTCTTCCACTTTTGATATTAATATCTTTATCACAGACCATGCATTTCGCATAATCGCGCCCTTTATTGCTTTTTTAAGTCAGCCTTGGAAATCTGGCAATTCTTTCCAGTCTTCCTTATAATGTTGGGCACACGCATGCGAAAAAAAAAAGAACTGCATAACAGGCAATACTTATACTTTTTTATATATCGATGCAGCCGCGCATGCAGAAGCCTAAATGCCGGAACACCGCGGCTGCTATGATGATCCCAAAGAAATTTTGTTAATACGATTTTTGAACTGCCTAAGGTTAGTAGAACTGGGAAAAGCTTCCTCTTATAGATTGTTCCACAATCTCGACACCCTCGGGACAAAGGAGCGGTCGTATCGGCCAGTTCTGGATGTACGAAGTTCGACACGGTTAGGATGGGACGCCAAAGTCAGGCGGGTCTGTCTGACAGGCACATCGCGCGGCGGCATCATAAGAGAGAGCTCTGAGGAGCAAAGCCTGTTGGTGTAGCGGTAGAAAAGGGCTAGATCGCCGACGGCCCGCCGGTGCGAAAGAGTCCCGAGACTGTCTGTTAGAGAAGAGTCATCGATCAGACGGACAGCCCTCTTCTGGTCAACATCGGGCATAAATAATGTAGTCGGGGTAGCACCTCAAATGTGTGAGCAATACTCGAGGCTAGGCCTTATCTGGGCCTTGTATAGAGTAAGAAGGTCATGCGGAGAAAGGTACTTTTTAGCCCTAAACAAATAGCCTAGTTTTTCCCAGCAGCTGCAGCTATTGACGAGATGTGTTCGTGCCAAATCAGGTCCTCGGTGATCTGGACTCCGACCAGCCGAAATGAATGGCTCTTTGAAGAACTCGGCCATCCATCGAAACCGGATGAGCGCTAGGACGCTTTTTGTTCGTCAAAGTACAGTACTATGATTTGGAAGCATTGAACTGTACAAGATTGTTGCGTCCCCAAGCAGTGATAGCCTCCAGGTCTCTTGTCAGAGAGGAAGTCGTCGCTAGTCTTCTTTTTTCCAGCTCAGAGGCAGAGATCGACCGAATTCGGAATTACTAAGTACACGAAGTCATATAAATCGTACAATACAAGCATAGACTTGCTACGAGCCGCTAGGCCTAGGCGATGTAGCCAAATCATCGAGTATTTTCGGTGATTCTCCAGATGCGGAGAATCAGCGTATGTGACACACCAATGTCAGGCAAAGAGAATAAAAATATATATCTGGTCTAGTACGAATAATAATAGTACTTTTGTCATTCTTTTTATCGCTATGCATCAGAAATATTTCTCTTATTTAGGGAACAAAAATTATTCATTTGAAAAAAGTCCACTTTCCGGTAGATTTTGCTTTAAAATCGGTTGTTTGGTGGGCTAGGACCAAAATCGGTAGATCTACCGAAAAATCGGTAGACTTAGTAACACTGTCTGTGACATAAGTTACACTGGACTCAGTCACTTGTGTTGTGCCCTTTGCCATCTATTGGTGAAAAACATAAGTATATATTTGTTATACAGATTTCAACATTCACTCTCAAATTACAGATGCCTGCAACTCAACAACGCTGGCAGCATCTACTGGAGAAAAACCGATAGTATATCTTTTGGCTAGATTTCTCTCTTTGATTCCTTTTAGCTAAATAAAAATATTTAGATGGCATCAGATGGTAACTTAAGATTGTCTTATCTCGATACGAAACGAGTCGGAGGAGATAATCCAGTCGGCAAAGACTTGAGTACTTTAAAATCAATTTATCTGTCACACCCAAAATTAAGGGAATCTTTCGCGCAATTAAGAATTCTAAAAGGTTATAATTTTTTTAAAACATGGTTCCGTTACAGTAATCATTAATGTTTGAAGCCGCGTTATAAGTTCTTGTAATTTCCTACTATATGTACAATCGAGAAGGCATTGAAATAGTCTGCATTCAAAAGTGTATTTAGGAGTGCAATTCCGAAATCATCCCGAATCTTTGTCCCATTTGTACAGATTTTTCACTTCTTGTGATTTTTTAATAAATCACCTAGGTATAGGGATTTGAGAATGGATAATGAAAAAACTATTTACTAAATGCGTGAGAATTAGATTGACTTTAATAGTTTAAGCGTAATCTATACACCGCACCCATAAAAATATGTCACAATGAAATAATAAAGGTTTCCGTTTTGAACTGTTCTTAAAACTGTGAAACGTCAAAATCTATCACGGACTGGAACGTTGAAAACGGAGATTATTCAACTTTTTCGTTTGCCCGTTGGTCCGCAGTTAATCAATTTTTGAAAGATATTCAAAACTCGGACCTCGGTAAGAGGTAGGGTTATGGGGTAAAGTTGTGCATTTAGGTAACTATGAAAGTGGCACTTAGAAAGTTTTGTAATTCGGATTATTTTCAGAATGTCAGAATTAAAAAGAATTTTCCCGAAATCGTATTTTCTCCTGACTCTTTTTGAAATGGGATTTCATCAATTCTGACAGAGATAATAATAATAATAGTAATAAAGCATATATTGCCCAACAGTATACACCATTTACAGAGCAATGGGTAATAAATTCAATTAATATACTAAATTTACCTAAAACTAACTTTAGCGAAACTACAAATTGGCACGACACTGGGTTCTTATTTCTGAAAAACTGCAACACCACTGAGCAACACAAATTAAAAGTTAGGCGAAATGGGTGGGTACATTTAAGGATCATAAAATTCAGAAAAATACATGTGTACATATAAAAACAGTAAAGTCATCATTTACAAAAGCATCGCAGAACACTAAAATGGTACGTACTCCTGATATCCAAATATTGCCAGAATATATAACTTAAAATTTATAAATATTCTTCCCGTAGCGATGTGTCACTGATGACACCACCACAGACCAGTTGGAATCTGTTACCGATTGCACAGTCGGCAGTGGCCTCCACGACGACGCAGCATCGCTCCGTGCACGCATTGCCAAGATATTTATGAGCACATTATACATCGGACTTTTATCATTTAATTTTCCAGTTGTTACAGGGATCAGAAACTTCTGAGTGATAAAAACGTCTGACTAATACTACATTTACAACCTCCTACCCCTTTCAACCCTCAACCGATCGACGCGAAGTGATCTCCAACATTCTAGATATCGCTTTGTGGTTTTCTCGCAGTGGTAATTGAACTATATATAACTCGGCGGCCGGGAGATGGGGCAGAGAGTACGGATTACGGTGGAGTAGCAGAGCGAGAAGTATAGTGCAGTCAATGGTGACATAAGAATTAGTCAGACATAAATAGTGGGGCATATAAATGTTTCATCGTCGTTACAATAACATAAATGAATAAAGAGTACTTTCCGTCATTCTTTTTTTGCTGCTGCTAGTTTACCGCACGTTAGCTTTGTTATTTTAAATGTAGTTATTTCTGAAAGCAATAGTCCCAGCTTCCTGGATACCATATATTTACCGTGTGGTATTCTAATAAATGCTACAACTATCAGAATTTTTTACGACGTTTTTTCCTTTTTGTAGTTCATCGAATATCCGCATGATTTTTTATTCCGTGATCATCAAATGTCGATTTACAATCAAATGTCCCATTACAGCATTCGTAAATATCACAAATCGACGCAATGTCAAATATGAAATAGTTCTCCAGTTAAGCTGACTAGGGATAAGGGGTAGGAAGACAGCGTTAACTGCGTTATCACTTTATTTGCCAACATAGAGGCCTCCTTGCTGATTTACAACTTGTAGCGAACAATTCGGGAAATAAAAATATCGTTGATAAATAAAAAAGTTCGTACGTCTGTAGGGCTGAATGAATAGATACGTGCTCCTTCTGTCGAAGCTCATGCCCATCTCCCCGCTCATCTCATCAAATGCCATCTTCAAGAGATTTTTTTAATTTGCTGTCCGTGTAATACCCTCATTCTTTCCTAAAGCAATAACGTAGATATCGATTTGATATGAGCCTCTTAAACATCCTATTGATACTCCGCGAGTGCTCTCAAAACGTCACCGTCGTCCTCGACGTTTCTTTCCTTCAGAGCTGCATATAGTCGTATGTCTGTTTTTATCGTGCAACAGTCGTCTGGTTGAACACAGTTCATAACTAAACAAGCTCGGGTTTTTGAATCGAACAGCGACGGTGTCAAGCAGTGTTTACAAACATGTAACAGGGCAGTACTTGAAAATATGAATAGCGAGTATTTTTCTTCAATTTCTTACTGACCTTTTCGCTGCTATTTTGCCGTACATTAGCTTTGTTATTTCAAACGTAGTTATTCCTTAAAATGAAAATCCCAACTTTCAGGATATCCTGTATGAGTATATCTTATGAATGAGATCATTATCGGTATTTTATACGATATTTTTTCATAGTTCATCGAATGATATCTGCATGATTTTTATTACATGATCATCAAATGTCGATTTACAATCAAATGTCACATTACAGCATTCATAGTTATCATAATTCGACATATTGAAATTGGTACGATCCAGAGATTTTTTCAATTTGCCCCCAGAAGCGATAAGCTCAGGCTGTTTCCCAAAAGTGCGGTTGTCTAAGTATTCCTTTCTTGCAAATGTAGTAGTAAAATCAGGATGTGTCCGCAAAATGTGATCGACTAATGATAGTGTAGTTGTAAATGACGCATCACACTTTGTACACTTGAGCTTAGCTCCAGTATGTTTCATCATATGGCTAACTAAATGCCTCTTGTTATAGTTTTATATTCACAATGGGTACATCTATGTATCTTACTAGATACAGAAGTAGTAAACTCAGGATGTTTCCGCAAAATGTGATGATCTAATGATTGTATGATTGTAAATGACTTATCACATTTTGTACACTTGTGCTTAGCTCCAGTATGTTTCATCATATGGCTAACTAAATACTTCTTATATGTAGTTTTATATTCACAATGTGTACATTTATGTATCTTACGAGATACAGAAGTAGTAAATTCAGGATGTTTCCGCAAAATGTGTTCGTCTAATGATAGTGTAGTTGTAAATGACGCATTACACTTTGTACACTTGAGCTTAGCTCCAGTATGTTTCATCATATGGCTAACTAAATGCCTCTTATATATAGTTTTATTCACAATGGGTACATCTATGTATCTTACGAGATACAGAAGTAGTAAATTCAGGATGTTTCCGCAAAATGTGATCGTCTAATGCTAGTGTAGTTGTAAATGACGCATTACACTTTGTACACTTGAGCTTAGCTCCAGTATGTTTCATCATATGGCTAACTAAATACCCCTTATTTGTAGTTTTATATTCACAATGTGTACATTTATGTAATTTACGAGATACAGAAGTAGTAAATTCAGGATGTTTCCGCAAAATGTGCTCGTCTAATGCTAGTGTAGTTGTAAATGACGCATTACACTTTGTACACTTGTGCTTAGCTCCAGTATGTTTCATCATATGGCTAACTAAATACCCCTTATATGTAGTTTTATATTCACAATGTGTACATTTATGTATCTTACGAGATACAGAAGTAGTAAATTCAGGATGTTTCCGCAAAATGATGATCTAATGATTGTATGATTGTAAATGACTTATCACATTTGTACACTTGAGCTTAGCTCCAGTATGTTTCATCATATGGCTAACTAAATACCCCTTATTTGTAGTTTTATATTCACAATGTGTACATTTATGTAATTTACGAGATACAGAAGTAGTAAATTCAGGATGTTTCCGCAAAATGTGCTCGTCTAATGCTAGTGTAGTTGTAAATGAGGCATTACACTTTGTACACTTGTGCTTAGCTCCAGTATGTTTCATCATATGGCTAACTAAATACCCCTTATATGTAGTTTTATATTCACAATGTGTACATTTATGTAATTTACGAGATACAGAAGTAGTAAACTCGGGATGTTTCCGCCAAATGTGATTGTCTAATGGTCGTATGGTTGTAAATGACGCATCACACTTTGTACACTTGAGCTTAGATCCAGTATGTTTCATCATATGGCTAACTAAATACTCCTTATATATAGTTTTATAGTCACAATGTGTACATTTATGTATCTTACGAGATACAGAAGTAGTAAATCAGGATGTTTCCGCAAAATATGATGATCTAATGATTGTATGATTGTAAATGACTTATCACATTTTGTACACTTGAGCTTAGCTCCAGTATGTTTCATCATATGGCTAACTAAATACCCCTTATATGTAGTTTTATATTCACAATGTGTACATTTATGTAATTTACGAGATACAGAAGTAGTAAACTCGGGATGTTTCCGCCAAATGTGATTGTCTAATGGTCGTATGGTTGTAAATGACGCATCACACTTTGTACACTTGAGCTTAGATCCAGTATGTTTCATCATATGCTAACTAAATACCATTCTTATATATAGGTTTTATATTCACAATGGGTCCATCTATGTATCTTACTAGATACAGAAGTAGTAAACTCAGGATGTTTCCGCAAAATGTGCTCGCTTAATCGATAGTGTAGTTGTAAATGACGCATTACCACTTTGTACACTTGTGCTTAGCTTCAGTATGGTTTCATTCATATGCTAACTAATACCACTTATATGTAGTTTTTATATTCACCAATGTGTACATTTATGTATCTTACGAGATACAGAAGTAGAAAATTCAGATGTTTCCGCAAAACTGTGAATCGTCTTCTAATGCTAGGTGTAGTTGTAAATGACGCATTTACACTTTGTACACTCGAGCTTAGCTCCAGTATTGTTTCATCGTATGGCTAACTAATACCCCTTATTTGTAGTTTTATATTCCACAATGTGTACATTTATGTAATTTACGAGATACAGAAGTAGTAAACTCAGGATGTTTCCGCAAATGTGATTGTCTAATGGTCGTATGGTTGTAAATGACGCATCACACTTTGTACACTTGAGCTTAGATCCAGTATGTTTCATCATATGACTAGCTAAGCAGTGTGGAAATGTAGTTTTATATTCACAATGTGTACATTTATGTATTTTACAGGACACGGATGACTCAATTTAGGATGTTTCTGTAAGACGTGGTTTTCTAAGCATCGTTTAGTACTGAATGAAGCATCACAGTTATTACATTTGAAAGTCGTTTGAGTATCATGTCTTGCCAGGTGCCTTATAAAACTTCTCCTAGCTATTTGTTTATGTGGACAATGCATACATTCATATATCTTACTAGAAACTGTCCCGCTAAAGTTGGGATGTCTCTTTAAAATATGGCCAAAAAGCGATCGTTCTGTTTTAAATGATGTATTACAATGTCTGCATATGCGTAGTTAGTAGTATGCTTTAGCACATGCCTGGTTATATCCCCTTTATAAGCGGTTTTTAAAATCACAGAATGCGCATTCATGTATTTTAGATGAAACTGACGCCATAGATCCTACATGCTTTTTAACCAAATGATTATCTAGTGATGTTTGCTTTTGAACACCTTATTACATTTGATGCAACGATACAGATACTGTTTTCTGGATACAGATCGTGATTTTCCCAAATTAGATCGTAAATAGCAATTGTTCCTTTTGATATGACCGATCAAACCCTTTTTACAATGGCTCGTATAGTTACAAATATAGCAGCTGAACGACTGTTTTCCTTCTTCGATCGGTGGATTTCGTTGTTCCTTTTCCCGCTTTATCTTTATTTGGACGCTGAAAAAAAAGTTTCATTATAATTCACGTTTTTTAATTGATAAAGAGAATCGATTCAGTTATAGCGAGACAGTGCCTGAAGTTTGCATTAAACGCTAATTCTATAATAATATTAGTTTAAACAGGTTTTGAAGGATATACAGGGTGTTTTCAAAGTTGAGCTATTTATTTTAAGAGCTTGTAGAACTCGTCAAAAGAAGTTGATGTACCAAAAATCCCCTATATAAAAGTTGCGTAATAGAGTTATACTAAAATTCAGCCCAAGTGAGACCACAACATCGCAAACTCGAAGCGTGATCAGCGCGTGATCGATGTTCCCGCAGAGGGTCTCATTATAGTTCAGGCATTTTACGGTTTGAAGTTGTAGTTTGAAGCGCTCGCTTTTTCAACTAATAGTTTCATTTCGTAGCTTTTATTTTTCTTTTTTTAAACTTTCCGCTCCTCATATTGATGCTTTTGTTAAATACAATATCCTGAAGTGTCTCCAATATAAAACTCCATGAATTTGGAAAACAAGCAGCCTCGAACATTTTTTAAGACCTAGTTAGACCGTAGCAATACAAACCCGCCGTTGCGCCGCGTTGCATCGCTGTTATAAGTTCTGTTATATCTGGTGTTTTTTGACCATGTCTTCTACCGACACAGCTGATGAAGGGAGAGCTACATTGAGTCCACCCAGGAAACGATCAAGAGCATCGAAGTGAAAGAAATTATTTTAAATGTTTACAAATGTGAAACGGAGGAAAAACCTGAGCTCGGCGTCAAAGATGTTGTGCAGAGGGTGGCGAATAATTTGGAGTTTCTCGTGCATCGGTATTTAGAGTACTCAAAGAATATAAATTACGGAATGCATTTGCTGACCTAAAACGAATCAGAACCGTAAAAGCAAAATTAAAGAAATAGATGATGCTGACAGACAGGCGATCAGAAGGAAGGTTCATGAATTCTTTTTCCAGAATGAAATTCTACATTGATAAGATTTTGAAGTAGTGAATGAAAACTCAGATTGCCGAATTTAGTAAAACGACGTTCTACAGGCTATTAAGGAACTCAACTCAATTGGCAGAAGAGAGGCCGAAACAGTTCATTGATGGATAGAGATGAAATATACTATGGAGGAGAGAGTATTTGACAAAAATAAAAGCATACAGGAGCCAAAACAGTAGAATTTACTTCCTGGACGAGACGTGGATAAATGCTGGCCATACAAAATCAAAAGTTTAGGTGGACCAAACAGTAACGTCAGCAAGAAGAGCGTTTTTAGATGGGCTTTCAACTGGGCTTAAAAACCCTACACGTAATGCAGACATTCCATTTTAGAAAATCCAACAATAGTTATTAGATAATTTTTCATAGCCAAAGTGATTTAAATGAGGCATTACACGTTATCAGATATCTAGAAAAAACGAGGGGATGTTCACTCGGGAAATCAATGTATTCTACGTTGGAATTCTTATGGTATCGATGACAAGATTTTTTACAGCAATGCGAGCGTTGCAGAGACAACATACCTCGTCCGTCACGGAATGTAACACGTTAATTAACACGTCAGACATTGCGTTGATTTGTAAATTTTTCGATAAGTTTGTCACACTTAATTTTTTAGTTTAATTGATGTTGCCTGTTTCTTTTTGTTTTTTAAGCTTTTAACCAGATTCATCAACAGATTAAATGATGCATTGGTTGAAGTGTCCGATATATCTCACCGCATGCATCCCGCTATCATGAGAAACAATATAGCATCGTATATAAATACAGAAATGTGTCCCTATCTCCGTGGCCTCAGTACTCTTGTGAAAGACATATAATATACATCCGTATTTAACAAGTTTATCTTATAGGCAAAGGAAAAAGGCTCATTATTTGCCACATCGGGAGTGTAGATGGCTTCGTGAAGGAAGGACTATGGTGTTTTGAATAAAAAAAAATCACTGACTACCACGAGGAGATGAATGGTGAAGCATTCGAAAACTGGTTTTTAGGCATTTTACCACGTCTTAAAGACAATTCTGTGGTGGTCCTGGATAATGCTCCGTATCACTCTCGGAAATTAGAAAAAATTCCAAATTCATCTTTTAAGAAATCAGAGATACAGGACTGGCTACGTGCAAAAAATATACCTTTTGATACGTTTATGTTGAAATTACAACTTCTAGATCTTGTGAAACAACACAGAGCAAAATATGATAAATATATAGTACGAGATGGCAAAAGGCAAAGCGCACAATAAAATGGTACTTCGTTTGCCTCCTTACCACTGTGAGCTCAACCATTCAAAAATAAAATCTTGGTGTCCACGAATTAAATCACAAGCATTTTCAAAGTGCACTGTTGAAGTTCTTCCAGAGTATTTACTGCTCCATCATGATACACCAACTCTTTCAAATAGCCCCACAGAAAAAATTGCAAGGCGTTAAATCCGGGGAGTGAGCAGTCCGAGAAATGGGCCGATTGCGCCCTATCCATCTATTCGGAAACTCATTATTTAGATGTTCATGAGCATCTCGTCTAAAATGTCGTGAGCGAAATCATGTAGGAACCACATAATATTCTCTCTCATATTTAAAAGAACACTTAAGAATTGTGGCAATTGTGTGGAAGAAGATCTAAACAAATTTCTAAAAGCCACTGGCACTCTTCCAGGCTGATCTTCATGTTGTAACGCTTTTACCCGCTGATAGTGATAAGGATAACACTGTTCTTGTCCTAATGCCTTCCACACTTTGCTATGAGAAATTTCAACTTGAGCTGCTATGGCTCTAGGACTCATTGTTGGGTCGTCTTCGATAATTTCTAAAAGGTCTTCTCAATTCGTAACATTTCAGGTTAAGCTGGTTTCCCAGCGTGACCTCCTCGTTTTTCTTTTAAATATCCTGTGTCACGAAGTCTAATAACTGAATTTACAAACATCCGTGGGGCGGGATGATTTCTTAAAGGATACCTTTCCGCATACGACCTGCATACTGCGGCTGCATTTTGTTGGTACTTATTTTTTCGAACAAAATAAGCAGACAAATGAAAGTATATGTACTATTAAAAGACTGATACAACAGATCGAACCAAAGACTCGTACTCGTACAGATAGTTTTCATGATTGTCGTTTATATTCACAGGGAATCAGGCAACCACAAAAAAGTTTCAAGAGCAACTTGCCAAGAGCTGCCCAAAAACTTGGATTTAAAACTTACAAGGTAGGGTTACATATTTTTTTATTATTTGTTTTTAATACAGTATTTCTTGGCAAAAGAGAAGCCCTTATTGAAAGATTCAGAAGAGACTAGCGTGGGCCTAAAAATACAAATTATGGTCTCCAACCGATGGAAACTCCATTTTTTAGATGTAGTGACGAAGCCAGAAATTTGCATTTTGTGGAAGGTATTATAATACTGAAAAGTGCATTAATGTGCTTCAAAATAAGTTAATACCTCAAATTGGACAAATGCGTTCAAACAATATTGAATGTATCATCAAACAAGATGGTACCGCTTATCATACGGCTAAAAAAGTAAAAGATTGGATGTTAGAAAAAACAATATTTTATTATTAAAATAGACGTCGAGTAGACCAGATCTATCGGCAATTGAAACCTTGTGGCATATCATGATGAAAAAGCTCTGATCCCGCAAAAACCGTTCTAGAATTGCGAACCCGTCTCCAACACATTTGGAACAGTTTTACCCCAGTTAACTGCCAAAC